CTGTTCTTAACAGAGGTGGTTCTAGCTCCACGATTGACCAGTCAGGGCAGAAGCTGAGGACTGGCTCCCTCACCCTGTCTGCGCCCAGCCCTGCCCTGCCCTGGCGATGCCTTTGCCTGATGCAGGACGGGCCACTGGCTGACCTCTGGGCTCTCTCCTCCCGTGCTCTGGACGGCGCCACCCCCTCACCCAACAGGCCGCCCTCCTTCCCCTCCCCCTTCCCTCTTCTGCTTTCCCTCTTCCTGACCCCTTAGTTGTTGGTCTTGCTTCCTCTTATTTCCTTTTTCTTCCTTTTCAGAATCGAGAGATAATTCTTAGGCCTTGCGATGTGGCATTTTAAAGTTGGCTCTTCGGTGCTCTTCGGCACATTCACAGGATGGCATGGCCGTCACCACGATCGAATTCCAGAGCATGGTCTTCCTCCAGAGAGAAGCCCGCGCCTTTAGTACTCACACCCCATCCCTGCCCCCCACAACTCCCAGTCTGCCTTCTGCACTTGAGAGTGTGCCTGCTCTGCAGATTTCAGCCACGTGGAATCATAGACCCTGGGGCCCTTGGCATCTGGCTTCCTTCAGAGAGCACCAAGTCCCGGGGGTTGTGGTATTCCTAGACGGCATAACTTCATTCACAGCAAAAGATATTTCGGAATGTGCCACGTCTGGTTTGTCCACCCGTCGGTCGAACACACTGAGTTCTTTCCCCTTGGTGGCTAACTGGAACATGCTACTGTGCACACTCATGTACGGCTTTTGTGTGGACGTGTGTTAGGCTTCTCCTGGATGTAGCCTTAGTGTGGAACTTTGCGTCCTGGGGAAATTCTAGGCTGGATCCTTTGAGGAACTGCCAGACTGCTTTCCGGCGTGGCAGTAGGTACCCTTTTACCTTCCCACAGCCACAACAAGGGCTCCCACTTCTGCACATCGCCCAACTCTCGTGGTTGTCAGTCATTTTTAGGACCTCCCTGGATGCAGACTGTCCACTTTCCTAGACCCTTGGTGCTCTCGCACTGGGGAACACTCGTCAGTGCCCACACTCCTCTTTCAGGCTGTGTTAAAATCCCCTCTACACACTCCCTGGCAACCTGTGCTTGTCTGGTGACATTGCACATCACGCTGAATTCTAATAGTCTGCTGACTTTATTGCATCAGAGTGTGAACCTGTTAGAGAGGGCACTAAAATATTTCCCGTGGTTTCTCTCGGGTTAGCACAGCCTGACGCAGCTATTTCGGTCGCATCTTATTTCTGCTTTCTTCTCTGAGGTGATGGACTGAACTTCATAGCATGACCGCCTGAGCTTGGGGCAGGAGAAGGACACTGTTGGGTGGGGTTCACCAAGCCATGCCTGGCTGGTAAGGACAACAGACAGGCTTTGTAGCCCGTGTATCTGCTTTTCTAGAAAGTTGTGTTTTCCTTCCCATTTTGCTGATATAGGACTATCTCTAATTCACCAGGAAGTTTGGAAGGAAAGAACTGGGGGTGCCATTGAATCTCACCGTATGGGGAACGTGGTAGGGTGACTTACAAAAATACAAACCGAGCACCCAGCTTTTCACTGACCCTTTGAAAAGCAAGACTGAGTGCAAACTAGGTGTTCCTTTAATAAAATAACCAGTTATGTAGAGTGGCCCCCAAATGTGGAGGGAAGTCAAGGTCAGCGTGATGAAGTCTGCTGACCTTCAAAAACAATGCTTAGCTCTGATGGTGCTTAATTTTAAGCATAAGAAATCTGAGGTTCATTGGCACCAGAGTTGAACAGATAGGAATCAGTGCTGGGGAACAAAGGCTGGAAGTAGAATTAAATGTAATTACAGACTTAACCTATAAGTTTGAATTAAAAAGTATATCCAGCTTGAAGGTTGAATCACACGAAATTACAAGTCCCATGCATCAGTACAGATGAAAAGGCAAGTTTAATTAGTTCTCTTAACTGTTTCTCCCCCAAATATATTTGTTTGTACAACCAATATTTAGATGATCTTGTTTCTTGTCACGCGGGGCCCCGTAAGGATCTGCTTCAGGTGCTTAGAGTCTTCCTGATTGGAACGCAGCTCCGCAGGGACCAGAGAGCCACTCCCGTATTGGACAGTGTTTCAGAGTGCTCTTGGAAACTCTACCCAGCTTCTTTGCTATGCTTTTTATATGCTTCTGGAATACAGAGGAAGTGGGGGAGGGAAAGATGGAGAGAAACAAATGTAAGTTGGACTCAGATCAGTGAGATAGTATCAAATGGGGCCAGAAGGGACTTGGCAGCAGCCCCTCTCCGGTTTCCCACTTGAGCGTGCACACGTTGCTTGGAATACACTTGCATTTCTTTCGTTCTTCTAGGATTTTTCTTCAGCTTTAGGAACCAACTTTTTCTTTAAATAGGAGCCAGGAATGAATATTAAGAATTTTTTTTTTTTTTTAAATGTGTGAACGTGCTTTGAATGGACATTTTGCCTTTAAGACTTGGTGGGTAGCGGATACAATCGATGTTTCTTGAACAGGAGTGAATGTGTAGCAGAGCAGAGGTACATGGGAGGTGTATTATCTTTAGAGATCTGAGTTTCGATCCTCATTTTGCCTCTTAATAGCTGTGTGACTTTGGCAAATTAGTCTTTCATAGTCTATTTTTCCTTCTATGTAAAATTGGTATTTTTTTGTTTCATAATGTTGTGATAGTAAATTTATTGACAAGAAGGAATTCAATAAATGGTGTTTCAAAATTGTCCCATTTATTGAAAAAAAAGTAGCTTAAGAATTCGTAGGATAAATGTATACATTTTGTGATCAAATTGTCCTTATGAAAGCATTTGACTCTTGGGTTCAACCTGGACGTGACTGTAGCTGTACCTGCTTGGTATCTGTATGCAAAAGGTGGTGGGCAAAGAACAAATGTGAAGAAGACAGAGCATGGCCCCATGCGGTAAGACACACCTGAGAGAAGCTTATTAAATTGAAGGAATGGAAGGGGTCCAGCATTGTTTATCACCTTAGGTCTCTGCAGACAGTTGAGAACTAGCCTTCAAAATACACGTACAGGCACACCTACAGGTTTCCAAAGAGAAATTACTATACAACCTTCCAAAAAGTCCATTCCCGTTGTTCCTATAAACTAATATTAGGTCATGAGTCAGGTCGCACACGGTTTTCACGTACCTTCATCCAACTTCCCAAAGATACTGTCCTTAATAACCACAGGACAACCTCAAAACCATGACTCTGACATGGGTACTTTTCCAGAGCTGAGCATTTTTGTGTTTGTTCTTAATTAATTAGTTCATTTCTGTTTTTCAGTGCAGAACCAGGGACTCGCCTGCGCCCAGAGCTGTGGGGTGAGCCGATGTGCAGGTAAAGAGACTTTGCAACAGTGGTGGCCTTTAGAGTCACTGTTCTTGCAGTAGGTTTTCATCACAAGTGACAGTGGCTGGTCAGCGTCTCCCACGTGGTATGTGTACCGTGGGAATCACCTGTCACTTAAGGACCAGAAACTGGCAAATGAATTAAACCCCCAGCCCGGCTCCTCTGCGCCTGCCCTCCTTCCTGTGGCTGGCTTCACTCCCTTCCCATCTTTCCTGCACGGCCGGGTATTTACTTCTCTACCTTTTCCTACCTTACCGACCCAGAGCCAGTCTTTTCCATATGTGGATTATCTTTTTTCTTCAGGTCACTTTGGGGATTCTATGGAAGATAGTTATTTATAGCCTTTTGTATTGTTTTGTTCTAAATAGCACCCCACTTAATCCTCTGTGGATCCCCTTCACACCCAAGCTCTGATGGTTGGCTCTCGGGGATCCCTCCACAATGGTGGCCCTCCAGGCAGCTGGGATGGGGCTTAGCATGCCACTTCCTCTCCTCTGCTGATGGCGGCTGTAGACGGGGTGACAACCGGGGCCGCGTGCCTCCTCACCTCTGCACGTGGGCACAGCTGTGGAGGGAGAACCCATGTCCAGTACCAGCTCGTCCCAAGCCTCATTTCCCCCAGGAGTGTCCAGCCCTGTTTAGCTCAGCAGTCTCCACGGCCATCAGACCACTTAAAAATGGATGTTTGCAGTACTGGTCCCCAAAATGTGTTTCTGGGCAGACCTTCTCCTAGAAGGAGGACCTGGAGCTGTCCCCAGAAGCTGACAGTCACTTGCTTTGGGGGAGACATTCTTGTGTCCTTTTAATTTCTGTTTATGGAACCGAGGGCTGGGAGCAGCCTGTGGACTCTTCTGATCTCCTGCCTGGCGTCTCCCCCTCCTCGGACAGCTTCCTGCTCTCTCTGCGCCTGTGTGACCCACTCCTGTCCTGGGCTTTTCCACTTGATTATTTAGGATCTTAGTACTGCAACCCTATTGGCAAACTTTCCAATTCTAAGAGAAGGATCCTATTTTCATGGTTCTATGTCTCATTTTAGTGTGTTTAAGGAATGCTTTAAAGTGTCCCTCTATGTTTTAAAATATCCCTTTGTGCCTTAGCAACTGGCCTATTGTTTCCTGCCCTAGTTTTGGCCTCAGTCCCACAAGGCAGGGCTGAAGTAGGGGTGAAAAGTTCACCCTCCGGAAGTGCCTGTTAGGTCAGCGTCACGTGAGGGAGCAGTCCCAGCCCCCTGCAACTCCAGGGACAGGAATCCCTGGAGAAGGCTGCCTGAGAACGGCTCCTCTCAGCTCCGCTGCTGGTGCTTGCAGTGTCCTTGAGGATTCCAGGCTCCAGGGAGTGTGGGGCGCTCCCGTGAGTGCGCCAGGATCTCTCCAGCACCTCGCCAGCACCCCCGATGATTGTCTGCATCAGGGCTTTAAAGTGGAAAGTTGTGACCCGTTGGCAGGTCATGAAGTCGATTTAGAGGCCAGAGATCAGCGTCAAAAATAAGAAATAGGAGCTGGATGGGGTGGCCCACGCCTGTCATCCCAGTGACTCAGGAGGTTGAGGCAGGAGGAGAGGTTGAAAGTCAGCCTCAGCAACTTAGTGAGGACCTAAGCAACATGACCCTGTCTCAAAAAATAAAGAGCTGGGAATGTGGCCCAGTGGTCATGCTCTGCTGGGTTCAATCCCCAGTACCAAAAGAAAGAAAGAAAAGGTAAGTATCAAAAGAGGACCTTCCATGTAAATGACAGTGTGCTACGTCGGGAGGCTTTTATTTGATGCATATGTACACACATACATCCGTGCCTGCTTTCACAGGGGCCTGCTGGTTGCACATGTGGGCACCCGTGCGGACTGGCAGGCACACACTCCCCTTCTTTCTATTTATTCAAGAGCCGACCATTCAAAGTGCTTGCCCTGGTCAGTGGGCATGTTCTGAAATGTACACAGCACCCTACTTTAAATTTACAGTGATGGCATTTTAATTTATATGAGTTGTATATCCCATTTTCTTTCTTAGTATTTCCTCCCCTCTGCCGTGTTTCCAAGTGCACAGAATTGCTGTGGGTACATCAAGTTCATGGGATCCACACGCTCCAGGATGTTACAGTGTGCCCGAGTCACGTTTTACTCCCATGCTTCCCCCAGGGCTGGGCATCAGCATTGTCTCTGTCTCACCCGCACACATCCCTGACTAGAAAGCACCAGGGGGGGATTTAATTTGGGATCTGGACTAATAGTCGATTCACTGGGCCGTGGTGCGTGTGGACGCAGCTCAGATGCTGTATGCAAGTAACTTCCTCGAGGCTTCGCCGATGATTTACCCAGGCCCCAGCAGCAGCATGGGGGGTAGATACCCACCTTCCCACCAGTACTCGGCATTGTAAGGTTTCTGGTGTTCCTACTTCTGTCAACTGCTTGTAAAACATCCTTTTGGTTTATTTTCCTCTCATCGGATTATTGATGAATTTTATTATCTCTTCATATGCTTATTTTACGGATTTTTTTTCCTTATGCAAATTTTCCTTAAATTCACTGTACAATTTTCCACTGGAAGCTTTTGTACTTCAACCACAGACTCACCCACTCCCGTCACTTTTCTATTAACTTTGTCCATTATATTATTATTATTATTATTATTATTATTATACAGAACTCTTAAATTTGGATGTAATTCATTTCATTAATATTTTACTTTGGGAGCTTTGCAAAATAAATTTTTCTCTATCTTTTATAAAAATTGCCTTTTTAATGTAGACTTTATCATCGTATTTTTTACATTTAGGTCTTTCACCCATTGCATTAAGTTCCTGTGTTTCGGGTGGTTGGCGGGAACCTAGTTTTGTTTTCTCCTAGGGTGATTTTTTTTCTTCAAGTTCATGGGGGGACACTTTGACCCTCTGATCTTTTTTTTTTTTTTAACTGGAGTTCAGCTGACTTGTTAATAAAGCTTGTTATTCCAATGCAACATCTGGTACAGTAGGTCCTGCTTATTTTTCTTCGTTTTCAAGGTACCTTCCATGTAAATGACAGTGTGCTACGTTGGGAGGCCTTTATTTGATGCATATGTACACACATACATCCGTGCCTGCTTTTTAGGTGTCTGCCCTTGGCTTTTCCATATGAATTTTGAAATAAATACACATGTTAGGTTCTTCAAACTAAAATTGAATTTTCACACGGGTGATACTCATCTGTAAATTAAAAGTCACTTTTTAAAACAGTAGCTTCACTGCTCTCCATTTAGCTCATCATCTTTTATGGACCTTATTAAAGCACAAATTATTCCCCATGGGGAGAGAACACTGCTGGCGTGTGGGTGGTCAGCGTCCCTAAGGCTGCGTGTTCTAGGCGTGGCGAGGCTGGCGGGAGGTCTTTGGTCATTGTGTTGATACACTTGAAGGACGTCATGGGGCTCCAGGCCCTTCCACATGGTCTTTTGCTTCTGGGCCACGAGGTCAGTGGCTTTCTTCTGCCACCTTCTCCTGCCCTGTCATGTCCCAAAGCAGTGGGGCCAATGAATCCTGGGCTGGAACAAAACTCTAAGCCAAAGTCAACATTTTGTCTTTATAAATTGATTTTCTCAGGTATTTCATTGATAGCAACAGAAAGCTGACAAACACATAGGTGTTCTTTTCAGCCCTGGGAACCCATAAAAGATGCAGATGATACAGACATTCATAAAATGGCTCTAAAGTCATTATAGAACTTAACAGGACTGAATAGGTGTGAATGTAGTAATACTCCTCGCTCACGGATTGATTCTGGTACAAAACACCAGATAAATACTTAAAGGTAATATCAGGTTCCACAACACACTATAAATAAGAGAGTCCTTCTGGGTGAGGAGAGATGAGCCCTCAGGGTGACAGAGTTAGAAAGGGGAGAGGTTCACCGTGAGCCAGGTTGTGTGATTCCTGGTCCACTTCCTTTGCCAACAAGCAGCGTCCACAACACCACGGTCCCCTGACAGGCTGACTTTCCGCAGGTTTCCCTTGTGGAGTTAAAGGAAGGTCGGCTTATTAGGAAAACTGGACTCCTTCGCAGCTCACAAAGAGGATTCAATGGCTAAAGTCACAAGATAGAAAGGGGAAAATGATGTCTTGAGCGTCTTCTTGGTTTCTTTTGCGTTTGGGTCTTTTTCACAACCGTGTCCCTGTGTTGTGGCTGTGGTGGATACTGATTTCAGAAATTCGCGGTGTTATTTGCACAAAACAGCAGTCGCACGTTTGCATGCTAGCAGAGTGCTGGGGTGGTAGGCCAGGCGAAGGCCCAAGCAGGGGGGGAGGGATTGGCCCTCTCTGGTGTGGCCACCAGATTCCGAGCTCAGGATGAGAGGTCGGCTTGGTGAGGGACAGCAGTCATTATTGACGTGCATTTTCTCCCTCTTCCCATGTGAATGTTGAGACGTGATTTTTGAGGTCTTTATCTCAACTAATTTCCCCCTAAATAAGATGGCTTGGGACAGAAATGAGTGCTCTTTCTTTTTTTTAAAGACAGACGGCCAAACTCATAAGGGAATGATTACAAGACTAATTCTGCTCTCTTAATGACATCAATTGAATAACATTAAAAAAATCAAAGCCCACGTGACTTCACAGCATTTTAACACTATGCGTTTGAATCCAAACAAAACGTCATTCTGCATGTCTTTTTGGACTCTGTGTAATAGGGCCATTACTTAAAATTAAATTCATCATGGGTGTGTGTGTGTGTGTGTGTGTGTGTTTTTGGGGTGAGTCACGTTGGGGGGTGGCTCCATGTGGCTTGAGGTTAGAGAGAGATGGACGGGCTCTTGGAGCCAACGTGGATGCCACACTCTTTGTGGGACGGCCCAGAGACGCTCTGAGCTGCCCGGGTCCGGGTAATTCCTCCCCTTTCCTCTGAAGCTCATATTTCCACCCACCTGTCAGGATGTCAGTGTCCAGCTGTTCCGAGCCACCCTGCCCTAGTCAGCTGACACATCGAAGGCACTCCACGGTCTTTGTCCAAAGCCTCTGAGCCCCGTGTTCCTCTGAGCGTCCGCAGCCCTCTCCCAAGGCTCAGGGTGAAGCCGCTGTCTCACCTGCGAGTCCTGCCTGCCCCCCGGGCTCTGAGGCCTTTCCTCAGCACCTGACTCTGTCTTCCTGGGGTTCTGGTCACCGACACCCCCACGCAGGCTGCTGTTGCCTTCACCAAACCTCCTTCCAGGCTGCTTGTCCACCCCTCCCTGGACAGACTTGGAGGTGACCGTTCTGTCTCCACCTTGGGCAGCTGGCTTCACCTGCGTGCACCTGGCTTTCTTCTCATCTGTCCAAGTGTGAGCAGTCACAGGGAGCCCGAGACCCGTGCTGAGGACCAGGGGCCTAACGAGTGCCAGGTGGTGGGCATGGTCCCTGGCACAAAGCAGAGGCTCAGCTCATTCCACTCCCCTTTGATTTCTTCGAACAACATTTGTTTTGCTCTAAAGAAACACCAGAGGTTCCTTTTTGCTGTGGGTGTCCAGAGCACCTTGTTCTTCTCAGCCCAGGTTTCCCTTCCCTGGTCATGCTGTCCAAAGTCACCTGGCCCTGCCCGGCCCTGCCTGGTCCCGCCCGGCCCTGCCTGTCACTGTCAGCACGTCTCTTTTGTGTTTTCGCCTCTTTAATCTCTTTGACATTATCTTTCACTTCTTTGGCCAATTTCTTACGTGTCCTGTCCTACTTGTGTCCTAGGACATAAGCTCTACAAAAGCAAGGCCCGTGCCCCAGGATGACTGAGAGCACGACAGACCTTTCCAGGCCTCTGAGTGGACACTCAGCCTTCACACAGAGGCGCCGGCCCTTAAGCCATTCAGAATCCCCAGCAGCTGCACCAGGAAACAGCTGGAGAAGACTCTGCCCAGCATCAACTAGGCGGCCTCGTGGGAGAGGAGAAGCTGCCTCGATAGGCTTTGGTTGCACACCCAGGAGTCACGACTGCGGGGACAGATCTAGCAATGCCACAGAGTTAAATTTTCCTTTGGTTGGATCTGGTAGGTTTTCCTGGGATGATTCTTTATGGCGCCCTGTTCTTGACCTTGGTGTCCGTCACCTGGGCTCCCAGAACCTGCTCCTGCTTCAGCCTACAGCAGGACCTCGATCTGCATTTACACCCCTGATTCAGGCCTCTTTATTCTGCTTTGAGTGAGCACCGATTCCGTCTCCTCCTGGCCACTGGGGTCCCTCACCTGTTTCTCCTGGTCACTTGTTGTGTCCCTGTAACCCCAAGGAGACCTGCACCCCCTAAGCCATTCTTTCTACCATTTAGTAGACAGAACAAGCACTTGGTTACTCTTCCATTCTCTCCCATTCAAGACCAGTGTGTTAAAACAGTGAAGCTACACATCGAGCCAGCCCACCATGTAGGCCCAAATCGCCTCCATGTCTCCGTGACCTCTCCTCCCGCCCACCTCCAGACTCTCCGGCCATTGCCCTCATTGCTGGTCCACCATGGCGTGCATATTGCTGTGCTGCTGAGAAATGCTCCGTGCCATCCGGCCACTGCGGGACAGGCTGGGAGGTCGAGGGAGTCCAGGCTGCCCTGTACAAATGGCCCTTAGTCGTCCGTCTTGATTCCAGAGTGAACACTGGGACCACCCCCCACCCCCTTTAGGGCAAGTGCAAATGTAGTTTTAGGTTCTTACTGAAAAGGAGAAGGATATGAGTGCAATTTCTACATAAGTTGCTGAGAAACTAAAGCAATAAAATTCTAAGCATTGAACTTGTCTTTAAAATCCAACAGACTAATACATTTATCTTTTGTGCTTTTTTAAAAAAACAATGTTTTTAAAACCATTGTGTTTATTCAAACCATTGACTTGGGCCATTTATGTCTTAAGTAAAACCCGTATGCCCTTAATAATAACGGTCAATGCTCGATATGCATTTTGACATACACATTATAATTCGCTGTAATTGTTGCTATGGTCACTTAAAAAGGCTCCAGTAAACCGATACGAGGATCACACAACTACTGACCTCTAAGTAACTACTAATGTCCATTTTTCACCCTCTAGAGCCCAGGTTCCAAGAAACAAAACCAAGGGAATAGACTACGTGGCCTCTGAAGTCCCCTTAGCTTATCATGTTTTAGAATCTTGACTTCATGGGCACTTCTTGCCTCATTAATCTCTCTTGCAGAAGAAAACGAGTGTCTGGTAACATCTGAGCATGTTTATAAGAATTGGAAGACTGCTGGGGTAAAGTGGCTGTTTCCTTCTCTCTATTGAAGATGACATCATCCTGAGTATCTGGACAGGATGCATCTGAGCCTCACCTGTCCTGTGTGGTTAAAAAAAACAAAACAAAACTGGATAATAAGATTTTCCCTGTTCATTCAGAGCCAAGAATGAGTTGAAATTGGGTGGGGGTTGCATCAGAGATCTTGTAATTTGAAATGGACAAAGATAATCTCATCAAGCTACTGAGGTTAGTAGAGCGTACACCTACTGTTTGCTTTCTGCACGCAGGGCGTTCTGCCCCGGGCTGACTGAGTGTTGAGTCGTACTGTTATCCCCATTTTTCAGAAAAGCCAGCTGAGGCTGACTGAGATGTGGCTTCCCCACTGGCCTGCAGAGGAGGGTTGTGGAGCCTGACCAATGTGTCCCGGTGACCACTGATCTTGGGCTGCTGGCACTGTGTTCGTTCCTGCCGATGCCAGGTGTCGGATTGGAATACCATTTACAGGGTTGGGATCCACCTCTGTCTCTGTCACTTGGGTCACGTAGAGCGGGTGCTGAAACTCACAGCCAGATCTTTGCTGGTGTTTTGACTTAATTAAATGTTGAATAATAACGAAGGCGCACTTCTATAGGAAGTGTGAAAACACTGTTTACACCTGACAAGATCAGCTCCTTGTTGTGTCTGTCAAGGTATGAGCATGCAGATTGTGAAGTGCTAGACGGAGGCATGAGCTGTCAGCTTTCCATTCTTAAAGTCAAGGACCAGTAGTACCCACAGAGAAAAATGAGTATTTTTTTCAGTTGTACTTTACCTTCTTGAATACTCATGGGGTGGCCTGATTCCCATTTTTAACACAATTCCTTGCCTGTTTTTACATCCTAATATGGTGTGCAAAATGGTCTAGTTTACGGAAAATCAATTGAGCAAAATTTCAAAATGCCGACCTTTAGATCTTTTACCTTGTTCTAAAGATAGATGGTAATTCTAGTTCCAATTTTTTTTTCAGGATCTTAACATCATTTTGAGCCAGGGTTCAATGGTCATTTTTGTTTTCCTTTAATTTTTTTTTTTTATTTGCCCTGGGGATCACACCATGGCCTTGTGCGCAGCTGACAAGAGCTCTCTACTACTGTTCCACCCCCAACCTGAATGGTCACTTTTTATTCCTACCAATTTAGACTCTGAGAGCCCTGGTTTCCAGTATGATGGTCCTTAAGGAAACGGAATCACAGTAGACTGAACCTTCAGTTCCTCGATTGCGGTAGCCTCAGTTGAGATGTTTGGTGACATGGTTGCTGGGCAGCCAGGGTGGAGAGGCTGGTACGGAGCACTTCTATCACTGCAAAAAGTCCTGCGGGACAGCAGTGCTCTAGGTCGTTTTAATGGTTTGCTTTTGATCCTCTGTTTATTTGGGTGAAAACATTGTGAATCCGGTGTCACCCGCCAGACCTCATAGCTGGAACAGGATCTGGGGTACGGAGTGTGCTAGGGAACTCTGGGAGGGCTGCTGCTTACGTCATGTGCCATAGAACACCTAACAGCGAAGACCACTGTAATTTTACCTTGTTTCCAACTCTGTGTTCTAAATAATTATCATTTTGTTAAATACACTGACGGTGGTGCTGGTTTTGATGGGTTGTATGTTTGATGGATGAATTGGGTGAGAAGCAGCCTCAAACTCAGACTAATTTAGTATAAAATCGAACACAGGGAGTCTTAAGTTACAGAACGACTTGTTTAAAGTTCACTCTGCAGACAGGAGACTGTCCTCTAGAAATTCACCCTTGCGGGCCGGGGAGCTGAGCCCTGTCTGGTTGCTGTCTGTCCAAGTTCCTCAAGGCAAAGAAAGGAGACAATGGAGCCTTGTTTTTTGACAGCTTGATTGAATGTATTCAGTCCCAAGTTTTGAATAATCTGTTTAACTGGAGATATTTTGCACAGTGAATACAATTTCTTTGGTATGAAATTTAATCCTCATAGTATCTTCAGCATAATTTTAATGCTTGCCAGATCTCTCTATCTGCTACCCAGCACTGGGTTGGTGTCCAAATGCCTTTACTTGTTAAGAAAACCTCTACTCTGCATTGCTGATTTGTTATCGGTAGTAACAGCTAGGAAACACAGAAAATATATGTTTTAAAAAGTAAGGAAGATGATTGGTTTCCGTGTTCCTCTGGATTGCTTCTCTGGAAGCATACCGTCTTTGATCCATTTTCTCTCCTAACTCTTATGTTTCTCATTTACTGATGAACACTATGTAAAAGACAGTGTACAAACTGAACAATGAGCTCCATGGTATTAAAAGAACAGGCCACCACCAAGCGCTCCTGTGAGATTAAAAATGAATTTGGTGAACCATTTTGTTATTTTGATTCGGCTGGCTCTGATTGTTCTTCAACATCTTTTGCAATTATAAATATCTTCACTTAAAATGGCGTGCTATATGTATAAGTTTTATTATGAAGCTCTTTTTTTTTTTTTTTTTTTTTAAGCAGACCCCCATGTATGTCACAACCACATCACCTCCGAGTCCTCCCATGAGCCTTCCTTTAAGAGATCTATTTATGGAAAAGCCTAAAGCGGCAGTGAGTGGGTGGGTTGGTGCCTCCAGTGATAGAATCTCAGCCTCCTGTTTATCATCCTTCACAGTCTATCCCCCACCCCCAGAGCTCTCTTGGGCTGAGACTTAGCAAGCTTCTGTAGTCAATCAAGAGTGCCTGCCAGCGTCAGTCCTGCAGATGGACTTCACCACACTGGCGAGCCTAAGTTCTCTTTGCTTAAATTACAACCTAAGCGACTGTGGTTGCCGTGCTTGAGATTGGCTCTTCTGAAAGTGGCAAGTTGCTTAGGCTGCGTTTGCTGCCTTGGCCAGTTAGATTTTTAAATAGCTTAGAGGGTGTAGTTGGTACAATCATCTCTGTTCACCTCTGTGTCCAATGGTTTCCCAGGACTCAAATAGCCCCTGCGTCACTCTTCCTGAAGAAAGGGGAGGAAAGTCTTTCTTTTCGCAGGAGGTTGGTCTTTTAAAGTTTTGTTTTGCTCAGGTGTTCAAAACGGAAATGTAAAATGGTGGGGAGGGGTGCTAGGTTCCCAAGTGGCAGTTGGCCCTCGGTGAACCGAGCCCGGATACTTTCTGAACATAAGGGTGTGGAGGAGCAAATGAAGGAAGACAGCAAAATGCTGATGGCCCGTCACTGCAATGGCATCGTTGGGCTTCTAGAAACTTCTCATTGCGTGGAAAGGAAGCTGGGAGGCTATGAGGAGGTCTCATGGTGTGGCTTCAGAAATGCCAAGTCCTTGGTTCCTCATCCCTGCTGGGGATCACGATCTGGGACAAAACAAGTGTATATTTCTATTTTCTATTTTTATGTCTCTTGATTTTCTAATCTTTCCTATTTGGCCAGCTTCTCTCTGAGAACATATTGTACACATGTTCTGGGCCGTTTGAAGGCCCTCCGAGAGCCGGGAGTTGATTGAAAGCTCTCAGTTCTATGAAGTGGGTGGCCAGAGAACTGGGGCTGAACAGCTGGCACACACTCCTTGAACTTTTGTCATTTATAAATTATTTTCCATGCCATCTGGAGCAAGAATGTTGCCATGGCTTAGAGCTGCTCTGGGTGGGGTGCGCTCAGACAGCTTGCTCGCTGCCGCAGACAGAATCTGCTCGCTCGGAGGCCTGAGGACGCGGGTACCTGTGAGTGGCCCCTGTAACTGTCCTGTGACAGAGGCCACCTCCACCGACAGTTTTCCCTCCCTCTCCCTGTTCCAGTGACTCCCTCCGGCCTGCCTCCAGCTCCAGTGGAAAACACATTAATCCCAGAGTCTCTGTGAGGCTTCCTGTTGGATGACATAATCAGAAAACTCTCCTTACATTGCCCTTGGGGTTGCTGTCTGGAGGCTTTGTCGTCTTGGTGGGCGTAAGGCAGCCATCAGGAAAATCAGCACAGACCGTAAACTGGGGGCCTGAAATGCGTTCCTATAACGTTAAAAGGAGTAAAGCCGTGGCAGGTCTGAGGCTGGGAGGAGTGGCATTAATCTGCAGATTCTCGCTGGCATTCAGAGGCACTGGCTGGTGACCAGGGTGCATATGGCAGGAGAGGCTGCCGAGGTCCCAGCAGGAGGTATTTGAACTGCTCCGGAGTAAGCTGTTAGCCTCCACCTCCTGGAAAAACACCAGGAGCAGAGGGTTTGGTGGTGTGGGTTTTAGTGGGTTCCTCCCTCCGCCCCCTCTGGGGCAGCCTGTTTACTTAATGAGTTTCGCCCTGGGTGTTGATCACAGGAAGCTGGGAACAAGGAAATTCGTGGGAAGAGTCAGAAATAGAAGATGAGGAGACATTTCAAGATGAGAACAGCAGAAGATGGTATCATGTAAAGTGGTTTTCAAAGTTCTGAGGATATTAGGAGGCAAAAGTTTAGTAGCTGTGAATTAGTTAGAAGGAACTTTGGTACGAAAGTAGAAGCGAGCGAGCGTATTCTGTTTGGGTGCCAGAGGGCAGGCGCAGGTTTACAAGTTTAGAAGCTATTGGCATAGGAAATGGA